AGTCTTGGATTTGAGAAGAGTCTAAGTGAGGCTACTCTTTATGTGAAAAACAAGAATGGAGTACTTGTTATAGTCTCCATATATGTTGATGATTTGCTGGTCATAGGAAATGATGAAGCTGCTTTGAATCAGTTCAAGATTGACATGCTGTAGATTTTTGACATGAATGATCTGGGCAAAATGACATATTTTCTTGGTATGGAGATTGATCAGTCCAGCAAAGGCATTTTTATTTGCCAAAGAAATTTTACGGGTGAGATTTTGAGCAAATTTGCTATGTCAAACTGCAGGCCAGTTAGTACTCCTTCTATGTCAGGAGTTAAATACAAAGCCATTGATGGTTCAACAAATGTTGATGAAGGGGTATATAGAAGTATGATTGGCAGCCTTCTATATTTATCTGCTACCAGACCTGATATAATGCATGTTGTTAGTTTGCTTTCAAGGTTTATGCATTCACCTACTGAAGTTCATCTCAAGGGTGTTAAAAGAATATTCAGATATTTGAAGGCAACTGCTAGTTTTGGTGTTTTCTATCCTAGAGCTGAGAAAATTAAGTTACTTGGCTTTTGTGACAGTGATTGGGCAGGATCTGAGGATGATATGAAAAGCACCACTGGTTTTTGTTTCACTCTCGGATCAGGTGTTATAAGCTGGTGTTCTCAAAAGCAAGTTGCACTTGCACAATCCACTGCAGAAGCTGAATATATAGCTGCTACAACTGCTGTGGATCAGGCTATTTGGTTAAGGAAATTGTTGGTTGATGTTCATCATGCTCAATCCAATCCTACTGAAATGTTGTGTGATAGCAAAGCTGCAGTTGCTATTGCTAAAAATCCAGTCTTTCATGGAAAGACAAAACATTTTAAATTGAAATATCATATTGTTAGAGTTGTAGAAAATGATGGTGATATTGTTATGGTGCACTGTTCCTCTGAAGAAAATGTTGCTGATATTTTCACTAAGGGCTTACAGAAGATCAGATTTGAAGCTCTTAGAAACAAGCTTGGCGTTTGCAGTTTGGATGCCAAGGAGGAGTGTTGAATGAAGTTCAGATTTTTGTAGTTTTCGAAGTACTGTGCCATCACATGCTGCAACAATTCAATGTTTGATTTTTTGATGTAATTTGACCTTTGGTTAGGTAGCTTTTTGTTAACCTTCTGTCAGTATAGACACTTGAGTAGGGGGCTAAAATTAAGC